TTATAATATATGAGATATAATATCTTAAATATATGCATCAAATATATTATATGTATAAAATATATAAATATGTATTATGTATGCAAAGTTCTAGTCATCGCAGGCTAGCAGGTGTTTAGACTTGAGCACTGTAGCCATTAGTGAAATCTGTCTCCCAGTTCAGCCACTTAGATGTACGACTATGTCCTAAGCGGAAAGATTTTAATTGAAAAATGGAAGGCCTATTTTATTCATCCGTTGCACTTCAGGGCACAGTCAATATGACTCTAATGTCACGTGACATGAGGCCCAGGGAGCCGCGTCCTTCACTCTTATCACTTTCACCACCCAGCTCACATTCCAGGAGAGTTAGGGTGGCCACTAATGAAGAGCTGTTTCCTTGGGACAGGAGGGACCAAGCCTCCACACAGAGCAGGCAGAGCAGCAGCAGCGCCGGCGGGCCCGACAGAGCAGCGGCAGGGCAGCCGCGGTACCAACTTGCGGTGGTCACAGATGTCGAACAACTGGGCCTTGGGAGCAAGCATGCAGGAGGCGCAGAAAGCGTCATGGGGCACCGTATCCACGGCGATAGACATGGATGCAGGGAGGAAAACTGCTGGGCCCTCCGGAGGAGCGTGGAGACAGGGTGGATACCTGGGGAGCACAGCTCATGGAACTGCCAGAAATACGTAAAGAGGACTTCCGCCAGAATTTATGAAATTTGAGACGTAATTTATGAAAGTATTTAATAGAAATTAATATTACTATCTCTATATTCCAGTAGTATTAGGGTAGTAAGAAGCAATCAGAATTTTGCTTTTATCCTGACATCATATTAGAGGTCTTTATCATTTTTTGGATAAAGATTTTTTTTTATTCTCCCATGCATTCACTGGGATCTACGGAGGAGCCACGCAGGCCGTATTAGAGAGGGTTTTTCTATGTGCAGCAACCCTACCTCAGTACCAGAATCACTCCGTTTGCTTATCGCAGATGTGGCCTTATCTGAGACCAACTGAATCAAAGTGTGAGCTTCCTTTTTTGCTTTTTTCTCAAGATTTGTTGTCAGGAACATTAAGATTTGAGAACTATTGCTTTATTTACTTAATGAGTAGAAGGTAAAACTCCCTGCTGAAAAGATGGTAGGCAGGGATAAGGTAGAGGTTTTGCAAAGAACGATAAAGATTTCAAATACCTTCTGTAGGGAATGGTGGAAGAAATCTTAATCATACTAAAAACATAACTGAGAAGATTGGTGCACAGCTAAAACTGTCGACTTTAAAACGTATAATGACTACAATCCTTGTGATTGTCTGTGGCAGACCTCTGTGACTATTAAGTATTTATTAAGGGTATGATATGGTTACCGTGTGGCAAATATAAATACTGACATAAAAGAAGATTCAGAAAAGGACATAATAAGATAACTGAAAGCCTAACTGGGGAGAAATAAATGATCATATATGAATAACATTAATAACATAATTATTAATTTGTCAGATAATAACAGTTGTGTTATATTGTGATAACAATAGTTGTGCAATATTGCATACATTCCCAAATAAGAAACTAGGGACTAGTGTAGTTGATAAAAGAGGTGGAATTTGATGAGTGCCTTGAAAATGTGGCAGGATTTGAAGGGGTATATTATTTAAGTCAAGAGAAGATATTGTCACACAAATTAAGTACTTTTTACTGTCCTACGTGTACACCACCATGTCGACCACGGTGAAGAACATGTATAGGAAGAAAATATATCTTCTTGGCCTCAAAGAGATTAGTCTAACAAGTAAAGTCAACTCTAACCATGGTTGGATTTTGGAGTAATGGAAAATCCAAGGGGGGGAGAAGTTTTGCAGGTGCCTTGGAAAATGCTGCAGGGCGATAGAATGGATGTGCCCAACTCCAGTTTGTTGGGTTGCACAACAAAGATCAAACTGTCACACATATGAGTTCAACTAAAAGTGGTTTACTTAGTTGTCAGAACTCGATAACAGGGTTGTGTTTAAGCAGCACGGAAAGAATAGTCAGTAATCGAAGGAGTCCTAACAACAGCGGCTGTAAAACTCATGATGGTCACACCTATGTCAGGTGTAGGTGGCTGTCTTTGGTTTCGAGTTTTGTTTTTTAACCACTTCAAGTAGACGAGGTCTGCATCGTGGTTAGCAGCGTAAATATGACACATTTGTACATATTTCAATTATTTATACTTTTATAGTGATGCCCTTGAGAGGTTTACAGTGAGGAGGAAACTGCTGCATACACTCCACCGTACCCTTTTACAAAGCAGATGGTTTAGCCGGGAAATAGTTCATGGAGAGCTTGAGAGCCACATTTAGATTTTTCCCAACAATCTTCCTGAACAGTGACATGTTGGAGGTGGCATTTAAGAAACTGTGCTTGGCAAATTAAAATATTAATGTAGAACATTAACATAAAAACAGGTTTCTTGAAAGAATAACAAACCTTCCTTTAACAAATAGAACCCGAGAAGATGCAATAGAATGGTACCCCTTGATTGGCAGAAGGCAGGAGAGGAAAGTGGAGAGAAATTAAAGTTGGTTCTGCTGAGGAGGGCATCCAGGGAGCCGCCCGGGGACACTGGGAACCTGCGGGAGGGGAGGCTGCACAAGGACCAGTGGGGGCTTCCTGTTGGGCTTCGGCCTGACCCTGAGCACCAGTGAGGTTCAAAAGCTAGTGTGCAAGGCAAAAATAGCGCACAGAAAAAAAAATTATGAAAAAAAAAAAAAGAAAGAAAAGGAAGAGGAGGGAAGAAAGAGAAGAGAAGGGAAGGCAGCACTGAAAAGCCCTGACGAAGAGGCCGTGACACGGTGCTCGGCAGTCGGAACGAGCCTGTGCTGCCTCGCTCCACCGCGTCTGTGGTTGTGCGTCAGATGAAGCGCCGGAATTGAATTTTCAAGTGTGTGCAAAAATACATATATTTAAACACTAGAACCACTCTCAGTGCATCAGAATGATATGAGACATCTGTGAATGAAGAATGACTGAGGGGAAAAACTACTGACACAAAGAAAAAACCCGAAGCACACCTTTTGTCCCAGGCTCGATCGAGGCCATGTGCCCTTTGGCGGGAATGATAGAGTCTGCTGCACTATTTCAATCGGTATTTCTCTCTGAATTTTTTCGAGGGGTTCAAGCACATAGTTGATGCCTCAGAAATCATAAAACTTATTTTTCAGTGTTACAGTATACTATGCTTGCACTGTGTTTTTTATGATAATTCCTTCGCATTAAAACTTTTACATGGAAGTTTTGTGTGCTTCCACGTTTATGTAACTCCTATGCCGAGAACGCAATACGCGGATTCAACTGACTTGGGTGGGTGCTCATTGGGACCAGCGTGCTAGGCATTAACACGCGGCATTCACATCTTCTTTGTATCATTGCTGTGAAGGAGGCTCTTAAAAAAATATTTTGAGCACAGTAATTATAGATTCACAGGAAGTTGCAAAATATGGTAAAGAGAGGTTTCATATATTCTTCACTCAGATTTCCTCAGTGGTTACGTTTTAGATAACTATCGTACAATATCAAGACCAGGAAGTTGACATTGATACAATGTGTGTATATAATTCTATGCCATTTTATCACATGTGTAGATTTGTGTTTAAGACACGGAACTGCCCCATTACCACAAAGATCCCTTTTGTGCAGCCTTGTTATTGCCACCTCCAAACCAGTCCCTCTCCATCTCTGACTACTGGAAATAACTAATCTGTTTTACATCTTTCTAACTCTGCAATTTCAAGAGTATGATATAATGGAATCAGAATATGTAACCTTTAGAGGCCAGGATTTTTCACTCAGCATGATGCCATTGCAAGTTGTTGCATGTATCAGCGATTTCCTTTTTTTTTTTTTTTTTATTAGTAGTGTCCCATAGTATGGATATACCACAGTTCGTTTAACCATTCACCTGTTGAAGAACATTTTAGTTGTTTCCAGTTTTTGGCTATTACAAATAAAGCTGCTTTGAACATTTGTGGACAAGTTTTTGTGATATAGGCTTTAACAAACACATTTCAGAGCTGAGACTGAATAGTTAAATAAATTCTCCAATGGACACTGCTATTCGACCGCTGGACAGGTATCTGAACCCAGATGTTTTTTATCTCCTGTGCTATTTCCACTATCCCATATTAATTCAGAGTAAATTGTTCTGCAGTGTAGAAAAGTAATGATTTTTATGTATGCATGTGTATGAGTTTATATATATATATATAATTACTTCTTGATAAAATATTGGTTTAAGAATAATAGCTGCTCAATGACTTGGTTGTTTTAGTTTCTATTAGGTGCCAGGCCCTGTGCTGAGTGTTGAGGCAAGATGCCTACCCCACAAGGGATTTTACAAAATACTATGTTTGCAGCATGCAGGTAGCTTGCTCTATGTTAGTTGGTTTTAACCATTTTAAATTTTAGTTGGAAAATGTTCATTCAGAGTTAATGTGAGTGCTATAAAAATATTTAAACGTGTGTTCTTAAATTTAACTTTGCTGAAAGTTGGCTGAATATATTTTGCCTTATCTTAGGAAAGCATTGCTGAGCATGCATGTACAATTGCAAGATCTAATTCTGCAAGGTATGCAATTCGGTACTTCTTCCAAATAGGAGTGAGGTCAACATGGACTTTTGCTGTAGCTTGTTCACAAATTAATGATTTCTTCTGCTTATTCTGTGTACTTTTCCCCAAATAGCATAAAAAATTAATCAACCGTCCACAGAGTACCAAAAGAATTTCTACAGATCCTCTAGGTAAGGAATATTTGCTTTGTCATCATTATAGTGCTGTTTTCTCTCTCTTATGTTTTATATATATGAATCCTTTTATAAAAAGGAATGGAGAAAGTGACTTTCCAATTAAATAATCATTAATTTTATCAGCCTTTTAAATGGATTTTCCTTGGGAAGTCATGCACATATAAACAAAAATAGCATTTTCAAATATGCATGTGATTAAAGTTGTATTGAAATCTGCAAGAAATATGAGCCTTACTAAGTACTATTTTATTCACATGACTAGTAATTGCTTCGTTTGGTAAATGGATGACTGCAGTTTATTCCAAAATGTTGATTGTTAAGTTGTAAATCTTCAAGTGTTGTCAGTTCAAACCGACATTTGAGGTCAATAGGTTTGAAATAGAAGTATATATTGTTATGATACCACAAAAAACATTTAATATTTGATTGTAATTATTCATAATTCAGGAAGATAAGGATACAGATTCCAGGTTCAGGGTAGAATTTAACACTTTTATTCTACTTTAGCCTTTGAAACATATCATTTTCTGATGTTAATAGCTATTAATGTGATAATTTATTAGTCTTCAAAAGACATCAGTGAGTATGTTTTGACCACTCTGTCAGGCCCACTAGGGATGGTGTGGAATTCCAGGCAGGGGTTACCGTTATGAATGTGTACAGATATCACACAGACTTTACTGCACTCCATTAGGAGTAGGATGGGAATAAATTCTAGCATTCTACACTCTCTCAGGGATAATAAAAGTTTTTTTGTTTTTTTTAAAGAGCAGGTGATACAGAAAACAACAACAATAGTAGTCAATGAAAACTCAGCAAGTATAATAATGTTAACTTTTGAAGAATTTGATGTTCAAGTAAAAGCACAGTCCAGAGAGCACAAGAGTATACGGATCCTTCTCATGTGTACTAGGAGGTCCCAGGTTGCTACACAGGCTGGGACCTATTGGTCCCCTCGGGACTCCTCCCATGTGACCAATGGCATCACAGCTGCTGTAGGAAGGATGATGGTAGATGAGGTTGGACACCGAGTGGGATAAAACTATGAAAAGTTTTAAATGACAACTTAAGAAATTTAGACAATAGGAAGATCTCACAAGAGATTTATTAATGGGGACTGATGAGATCAGATTAGATTTTTCAAAACTTCTTTCTGTTAGTTGTGTGGAAGACCAAAGTGGGTCAAAATGGATAGTAGGGATACAGGCTAAAACCCTGCTTCCTGCAATACTCCAGAAAACAGACAGGAAGGACATGATTAAGGCTGAGAAGTAGAGGAAATACTTGAGATGTTTGGAGTTAGGACCATTAGGACTTGGGTGCAGGGGATAAGAAATAGGTTTTGAGAAATCAGAATAATATCAAATGTTTTAGCTTACTCAGCTGAGTGGTCATATTAACTAGGAAAGTAAATAGAGTGAAGAAAAATCAGGTGGAAAGAAGGAAAGGCCAACATTGATGATTTTGATTTTAGAAATATAGCGTTTGTATTGGCTGTCGTATACACTGGTAAAGATAATTAGGATATGAATATTGCAAATGCTATATCAGGATTTAAGAAAACAAAGCCAAAGATGAAGATAGAATGGATCTGGGATATTTCACACAGTTAATAGTGATGGTTAAATCAGTAAGAGTTGATGAATCCACTGAGGGGAAGGGACAGAAATAGAAGTGGCCTGAGATAAAATGCTGTAATGAAGCAGTATCCGAAGGAAGAGAGCCAGCTAAGGGCAAGAGCGGAAAGAGGAAAACCAGGAGAGGCCACAGAATACAAAGAAAGGAGTAAAATGCTTCATGGAAGTCAGAGACGATTCAGGCTAAGAATCAGTTGCTATAAGTAATAATTAGGAGGCCTCTAGGAAGATTTGAAAGAAAGGCTTCAATAGGGAAAATTATGGAGGGAGGGCATAGAACCCTAAAGCAAATATTTAAGTAGTGAGTTGATAGTGAGGAACTTGAGGACTCAAGTCTACATTAGGCGTGAAAAGATTTTTGGTAAAAGGAAAGGAAAGAGACAGCACAGTAGCTGGACACAGTAGCAGAAACAAGGAAGGGAGACTTGAGAGGGCTGGGAAGAAACATGGAAGGAGCCCGCAGTGAGAAGGAAATAAAGGGACAGGTGTCAAGGGAAAACACTTGATGAAAAACACGGTGGGGGATGGAATCCAGCAAACACGGAGGAGTGAGATTCTGTAAGAAAGTAATTTTGAAATGAAAATACAGTTAGGAGAACTCAGGTCAAGTGGCCTTGGGTAAAGTAGGAGAAGTAACATTGGCTGAGTGAAACAGAATGAGAGTGAGATTGAGGCTTGCGGATAGGAGGAAAGATTTGGGTCATTGCCATGGAAAATGTTAAATTGACTTTAGAAAAAATATTTTTTAATGGATTTGCAAGATAATAAGCTCCAAGTGTGTAAAATAGCATACTGTTTGTTGATCACATTCAATGTATTTTCATAATCTCAGGCAGCCCAAGTAATTCGGGTTGACAAACTGAGAACAATGAAAACTAAAGAGGAGAACATATTTTAAGGTGGATTCAAGACCATCATTGGCGTACACAGCTGATCGTTGGGAGCAGTGCGGGTACAGAGGAATAGGAGACCCCGCAGGGGACGCTGAATGACTGAGATGCAAAGGAATAGAAGCCAAGGAAGTTTAGAAGGCAGAGGTCAGCAGGAAGATTGAGAAACTGAGGCCATGGAGGTGGAGTAATTCTGGCTGATGATGAAACGTGAGGATTGGCCATGACAGTCAGTTTCTAGTCTGGAGTCACGAGACAGGTCATTGGCATTGACAGGATTAAGGAACCATGTGATCAGAGGTCAGAGGTGTGAACGATTATCAAGTGGGTTGCTGGTGAAGCTGCCTACGATGGTTGCTGACGCTACGGGTGGGGAGAGAAAAGCCTACCCAGGTAGCACCGGCATCAAGATGAACAGATTGCATGGTGGTAGCAGAACACTGGTTTGAAAGTGACAATGGAGAGCCAGGATGTCTTGGCCCCTTTCCCGAGTAGCTTTCACAGAAAAATGTTTTTATAAAATCAGGGTGCAATTTATGGGAGTAAGGAGATGGGAGGGAATAGTTGAGTAACAGAGGCCAGACAGAATTCTTTGTTCACACCAGACCGGGGAAACTGGTGCAGGGGTGAACGTGAGAGTAGATGAAGGTGGCCATGATGCAGGATAGAGCTGGAATACGGAAGGGGAGAGATCAAGATCGTAGGGCGCAGGAGTTTTACTCAGAGTAACGGGTCTAAATTACACAACAAAAACAATAGCAACCATAACAATAGGAGGTCTCTAGGAGTCACAGAGTAAGGGAAGGGCTCTGCTGAGTAGACAGGACATACTTAGAGGAGCTGTCTGCACATCTGAATGGTCCAGAGGCCCAGTGGAAATGTTTGTGTAAAGGATCTTGCACGTAACCGCTCTGTGGGTGGTGGATCTTGGTGTGTGTGTTCGGGCATGTGTGTACAGCTCCAGAAGAGTGTGAGGACTGACTAGCTGCTGCTCTAATTTATGCATCAGATTAGTACTGATAAAGAGAACTATCTTTATCCTTTAAAAACACAATGCTGCTCAAAGTATGGTTGGGGACCTCAGCACCAGCATCCTCTGGGAACTTGTTAAAAATGCTAAGTTTTGCCCCTACCCTACTCAGTGAAACTATATAGGGCAGAGCCTAAAAGCCCTTTTAACACGCTCTCCTGATCCTCAAATACATTAAAATTTCAGAAGCATTTTTAACCCTCTGCAACAGCTGGAATGCCATCAATGGCAGGGATCACAGTCTTGCAACTGTCCTCTTGGGTGGTTCCAGATCTGTTCTACTCAGAGGCCAAAACAAAGAGCAGGTGGATTTCCTGTAAACAGGTGTGAAAGCTTAGACCTGGTCATCCCCCAAGAAAGGGTACTAATGCTGAGTGTTCTCCCGTGTGCTGGACAGAAGCCCTTTGGGATAACTTGCTCCGCTGGCTGGCTGAGGAGCTCTCCGAAGAGCAAGAACAAGCCGAGTCCCTTTCCTCGTCCCTCCCTCTGCGCCGAAGCACCGTTCAGCTCATCAGACTCAAGAGCCCTGATGATCTCACAGAACAGATCCACGAACTTCTTTGCTTCTGGAAAAAATCACTCCCAACTTCCACAGACAAACTGCGCCTCCTGGCTCGTCATCTCCGCAAGATTGGCAGGAGTGATCTTGGAGAAGCTCTTAAATTCAAGTGGGAAAATAAAGTGTTCACTGAGCCACAGCAGTGGTTTGATACGGCTGCCGAGTAGAAGACGGGTCGCTCTTCCTGTTGCCCTAGAAAAAGGCGCATGGTGGGTTTTTAAGATGGTTTCTGTCAATATTTTCCTAGCAGTTTCCAAGTAACATTGTTTGAAGTTAGACTATTTAATAGATAACGCTATTGAGAAATCAATTGAAACAAATGGAAAAGCACTGATCAAACAGTAAAAGGCATTCCTGGGTGTTTCATGGTTGAGGGCTGTATTTTTTGCAAACATGACTGTTTTGAGTTCAGGTAGACCTAATAGCATTTGCAACAGAGTTTGCCCTGTTTACATTTTAATAGCTGAGGTTGCTTTCTAAGTGCAGAGAAAAAATATGATGTGAAGAATCACTTCCTTTATTGTTATGTACATAAAATTAAACTAGTATCCATGACTCCAAGCAACCAACTGAAGTTACATAGATACCATGGAGCCCACAGGTAACAATACAAAATAAATTGAGTTGGGAGACCTGATGTTGGTGATAGCAAGTCACTTTAAGAAAACAGAAAAGCTTGAAATAAATTAAAAATACAATATCACTTCAGCCATTTACTTCCACAAGCTTTTCTTTTATTAAAATGTAACTTGGAATAAGGAAAATTTCATATTTTTAATGAAACGAGGCAATGCAGAGAAAATGAAGTTACCAGTGAAAGAATTCAGGGCCTGGTTCACCCACTTAGGAAAACAACCTGCTTTAAAATCAGTTAACAGAAATCTTATTACATAAGCCCTACATGCTCATCATTAAAAAACAAATTAAAAAATCTGTGAAAAAACACAAAACTGAAAGAAAAAAGGAACTTACCAAAATCCCTCTATCCATTGATAATCCCTATTAATGTGTAGTTTAAGCTTTGAGCTTTTAGAAAACCTGGAGTTGGATATAAATGGGACGTTGGATTAGTGTCAGGGATTCACTAATGCACAACTGTCAAGGCCTCAGCTTGCAAACATCAGTAGCAATTACTTTCAGTTATTGAATACCTAGAAATTAATGAAATTATGTGAAAAGTTATATATTTGGATGACTTTCAGATGTATTAATAAAGACAAAACTTTCTTCTGTAGATTTATAAATTAACCAGGGACTTAAGTATCTATTTGCTTATACATTAAAAAAGGAGAGCCCAACTTTTAAACACATTTCTATTAAGAAGAATTTTATTAGTCAAGATTTTTATTTTTTACCTGCATAACACATGCCGCCAAAAGATACAATATGTATTTTCATATGTTCTTGGAATGCAGAAAACAGACTAGAATGTCCATTTTTTTCTCTGCCATAGAACGAAAAAGAGAAATACAACTGGCCTCTTATTCTGCCACCAGATATTACTATTATGAACATTTTTGGCATATTTTCTTCCAGTTTTTCTATTTTTCAGGAGGGAAATGTTTCTGTTTTTCTGTGTTTAGACGTACATAAACACACGCACATACATGCTCAGAGGCCTGCATGCTAACACTTATAAATCCCGTCACACGCACTCTCGCACGCCTCTCACAAACGCACCCGAAGCAAACACACATTCCCTTTACCTGCATACACAGTCTCACGCCACCTGCGCACCTCACATGCACGTGTACACTGTCGCGAACGCCCCTCCCGCCGCACTCCCTCCGCCGTCACACAAACACACTTACTCATGTCCGCAACCACACTCGCGCACACACACGTCGGTACACAAAGGGTCTCAGATCCACTCGTTCACTCCCGCATAGACCCCGCTCCCACATACCGTGCACACGACACTCGTTAGCGCGCATTCCCCACGCGCACGCGCACAAGCGCACCGCCGCGCCTGCACACCTTCGCCCGCACACGCTCTCCCGGCCCGCCCCTGCGCTCTCTGGCACGTACTCACAGTCGCACCCTCATGGCACATGCGCAGACCTCGTCACTCACACCGGCACACGTTTTCCCCAGAATTAAAAAAGTTGCAAATATTATTGTGATGGTAAAACAATATAAACGTATGAAAGAAAAAATCGATCATCTCTTCAGCATCTCCTCTCTTTAGGTAACCCAGGGAATCAGTCCAACATGTGAGCTGTGCTGCCTGGGTTGGGGACCTGCCCTGAACACCCTCCCAGCCACAGCCTCGCCCTCGTGCGCCCTGTCCTCGGTCTAGTGCGCTGGGCTGTGCGGGCCACGTCGCGGATGCTCTGGTTTCTTCTTGGGTTTGTCTAATGGGCAGCGGGAGCCCAGGAGGAGGGCGGAAAGTGAGTTACCCTATTGCCCTCTCTCCCTTCCTGCGCTCACCTGGGCCAGGCTGTGTCCCTCACCCAGACGTCACCGCTCCTCGCTCCTCGCAAGGAGGCCCCCTCTAGGCAGCTCTCTCCAGGGTTTTGGTAACTGGTCCTCTTCAGATCCAGGGGGAGTAACAGAGCTTTTATTGTTCTCAGTAAATGTGTCATCCCTTGTGGTTCCCCTATACCCCACCCTCCTCTTTTAAGATAACACCTCCTTTAATTATCCTAATTTGAGTGTGTATGTTTCTCATTGAGACTCTGATGGATTCATCTCTGCACACCTTTCTTGTGCTTCTAGCAATTTATACATGTATACTTTTTCCAGAATGAGAGAGTCATATATTATATAAACAGTTTTAAAAATTACTGTCTTATTAAATTATGAGCATTTTTCAATGTCTTTAAAAGCTTTAATAACTGAACGATATCCCATTTCATGACCATACCGTAATTAATTTTAGTATTACCAATTTCGAAAATGTTTAAATTGGAATGATGCAGCATATATTCTCTCATGTCTGACTTTTTAGTTCAATTTTATGTTGCTGAAATTCATCCATGTTGTGTGGGGCAATGGTTTGTTTATTATTCTCATTAACATATAATATTCCATTATATGCATATACAAAAAAATAAATATATTAGATTGTAGATGGACATTTGAATGGATTCCACTTTGGAGGCTATCATAAATAGAGCTGTTATTAATATTATTTACACACCTTTCAGTAACTATATATATATATATATATTCATTTTTTCAGGTATATACCTAAGAGTAGAATGATAGTTTACTATAATTAATTTAACCTTGCTATATATTTAGGACCATTTAGCAAATAAGCCTTGAACATTATTATTGAGGTACTTTCTTTAGATGATGGAGGGACAAGAATGCTCTACCATGTAGATAGTAGAGTCAACCTACATATCTCTAATAACACCAATTTCACCATCAAAAAACCCATCACCCATTACAGTCATAATTTTGCTAATTATTTGTGAGCAATGAATTTTACAAATAAAAAGTTCTAACATTTATATATATTATTTGAATTAACAAAACCTATGGTATTGAATCACAGTCATCTTGATTATACTTGATTATATACTTACTATATCTGGAGTATAAAGTCTTGATTAGATGAATTGACTATCCCTAGTAGCATATGTCAACACATACATGATATCACTTTGCATATTCTGGAGTATTTTAGAGTAAAATAGAAACACCTTAACAAATAAGTTCTGAGGACATCACAATCCAATTTTCAAAATAGCTAAATTTGGACAAAGTTTTCTTTTTTTCCCTAACCCAGTGTTTCTTAATAAGATGTTACTGGCGTTTTGAATGGAATCATTTTTTAAAAGACTAACCTGGACTGGCTCATGAACTGCAGGCCATTCAGCATCCCCGACCTCTGTCCACCAAGGCACAAAGCACCCCCCACCCTAGCAAATGTGACAGCAAAATTCCTTCCAACTCGTTCTGGTCATGCGGTTGGGGGAAAAAGGGTGGGTGTTGAGAACCACTGTTTTAATCAACACTTGGCTTGAAAGAAACGGGGCAGAATAAGGTAAGGGAAATTTAGAACATTATAGGCAAAAGAGGGCCCCGCCTTCAACTCTCCAACTACTGTATGCGTTTGTAAGAAAAGTCAACTACTGTCTGATGACTTGCCCAGAAATGTTCTCAGTGAGGAGTCTCGAGCCGTTCTATAGAATCCGAAGTTTATTTAAGGTACAAAATCAGGCTTTCTGAAGTTAGAAAGGTAGTAAGTAGTTCAGAAGAGGAAGGAAATACGGAATGAGGTCAAAGTTGTGTCTGACGCAGGCTGGGGGTTCCCCGTAGCTTAGGCAAGCGCGGCTTCTGTGATCCAACCTCGTCAGAAGGCCCTGTGAGGCCTGGGTCACATCGTTTAATCCTCAACTCCCCTCCTCTCCCAGGTCTCCTCCTCTGGCCCTTCTCCCCCCTCCCCAGCATAATTACCTGACATACTGAATAATTTCCTTATTTATTATGATTTTTATTTTCTGCAAATAAACGCCCACTTTAGTTCACATTACACAAGGGCTAGAGTGCTTGTCTCTTTTGTTCATCGATGTATTCCTACTACTTAGAATTCTGCCTGGCATTCAATAAATATTTCTCTGTTTTGTTGTCCTTACTTTACAAGTGAGAACACGGTAGCTGAATTACAGTGATACCCAGTGAGTGGCGGAGCCTGGATTGGAAGACAAATGACTCTATTGTCAAAGTCCTTTTTCTTTTACTCCAATTTCTACCTGCCATTACTGGTTCTCTCTCTTCCATAATGTTGGCTAATGTTTTTCAGGTTCCTGAACACCCAGGACTGGATTAATTGTCCACAGCACCCTGTTCTTAAGTCCAGTTATAGCACTGCGTGCACTGTTGTAATTACCTGTTTGTGTTTTTCTGTGTTTTACTCCTACCGGTTCTTAAGTTTTTTGAGGACAGAGCCTTGAGTCCATCAGTGAATTTCCACAGGGGCCAGCACATAGCAGGCACTCAGTAAGTCTTTGCTGAATTAATTCACAAATTTCATCTACATACTGACATGCTATCAGGACCCTTGTTTTCGGTTCCATCCTGCTTTTGGAAGCAACCCCGTGGGGCCAGAAATCATGTCTGAGAAGGTAAAGAATTAGCTCAGACTGTAAAATTATCTCAGAATTAGCTCAGCCCCACGGTTCATCAAGCCGGAATAACAGAGGCAGAGCTAGCCAGCCGCAAAGTTAACAGGAACCACCATTTCCCCCAAGAACACACTGCAGCTGTAAAGTGCCCCTCCTTTGAGTGACTACTGCTTTTGTACACACTGAGAAACTTTGTTCTCCAAAATCACAGACTATCGGAACTTTTGCTGTTGAAATCATATCAGTAAGAAAGGAATACCCCTTTCTTGCCTGGAGGATCTAAGTCACTTTGACACAGAGGAGCATTCTTCGTATAGACCCAGGTGCCGAGCTTCAGGTAGAGAGTTTCTGGATACAACGTTGCATGCTTACCTCCACACTAATGTTTACAAGGAATGGAAAGCACTCGAGGTCCACTTTACAGTGCAGACCTGGTGTTGACCCCTGACATACAGCTCTACTTGGCTTTGAGCCTAGCAAAGCA